TTTCGCACAACGTTGTCTCCCATTTACACCCCGTCTGCTTCGGCTTCTTGTGGCCAAGCGATTGCACCTGTCGCTTTCAGCGGCCTACACGAATTGTTTCTTGTCCAGTGGTCTTTTACGTCTCTGGTTGTCTGGGATACGTAACAAGCAGGTTTATCCTTACCATCAGGAATTCTCGTTTCATTCGACGACTATCATAGCCATGGACCTGTTCCCTTGCAATGTATCCTCTCAAAGTCACAGCGTAGCATCCACTTCACCTGGGAGTGCCTGTGACAGATTGCAGGTCCTGCCTGTAGAGAGATGTCAAAGAAGGGCCTGAGTGGGGTGCGCGACGACTTTTTGAGAAGCTTCTCAGCGTTGACCGATTCCCTTCATTACTTGTGAGTGACAGCGTTGATAAGTGCCTAAGGTTGGTCGTTCTGGTGTTTGTAAAGCTCAAACCAGATAACCAAATCGTATAACTTCAGATCGTGGCCATCGAGTACGCTAAAATACTTCGCGGTATAGTGTCCGTAAATCTTGCCAGCTCCTGATTGAGCGTGGGATTTGCAGAGCCTAATGGCTAATCGAATATGGTTTCAGTCCTGGCCCAACCAGGCCAAATAGGAGGAAACTACTGTAACCATCTACTAACCGGTCGTAACTGGATATTACAGGTGCCAGGTATTACCCCCAGCTCAGACCTATATCACACATAACTGACTAAAGCTTGAGAGTACTCCCTTCACGAATCGACACACAAATGGCACCCAGGTGATGTGCAGTGTTTTTCTGATGCGATAGAATAAGGGCGCGATAGAAGCGGCTAAACAAGGCTCAAAAAGATCTATAAAAGTTACCGAAATGGACGGGTAAATTGCAACGTAGAGCGCGCTAGTGTCTGCTCCTCTCGCCTCCCCTCGTCGTGCTTGTTTACTCTATAAAATGCCGGAAAGCTTTCAGTACTCTCCTTTGAGGATCTTTTTTACTACCGGGCCAATGAGAACCTATGCTTGAATTTCCATTGGCTTATTGTTATGCATACCATGCCATGCTTTCAACCTAAGGAAACTCTTCCAACCTCAACAATAAGTTTGCAAGTCGTCAGAACTTTTAGCACCATCACCTTTTCATAAGAACCCTTACACATAATTCAAACTGGTAATCAGCTGCAGTAATACACCGTAATCTGGTTACTGCTGTCCTTTTGACTCTTGGAAATGTCGCCGACATTGCAGACGCGTTTCGTATCTCTGTCGTATTTCGCGTCCCAGTGTGGATTATTGAACGGTTGCTTTCGGGTGATGCCTTCATGGATTACGGTAGGCGATTATATGAGTCTAGTGAGAGTTGTCCACTTGCGGTTCCCTTCGAAGCTATCAGCGCCATTTGACTGATCGGTCACGTATAAGAAGAGCTGCGAACTGGTTCAGTTCGACAACGGTATCTTTCTGAGCGCTCTCTCTGTTTGGCTTTCTGTATGCGTTTCTCTACCCTTCTCCAGAATGCAGAATGTTCATTGTCACTGGGTGTTTACGTAGAAACATCGACGACTGGGCGTCTTCCAGCGGACCAGTTCATTTCCGGCCAAGTGTCTCCCGTTTGACGTGATTTGCTGCGCGGCGCTGTATTGCATAACTGGACAAAAATGTCCAATTGAAGAACTCAGAAGCTCTCTCTTCCGCGTAGGTTACTAAGGGTTATTTAAAGGTTAATTTAAAGCTAGCTTGTTCCATCCATTCTTTGCTCTCTATTCTAGCGGTAGATTCATGGAGTTGATGGTTTCAACCCGTGGTGACTCCGTCCGAATCAGCCCTTCATTAATCAGAACGCCACTCCGATATCAGCTCTAGTACGGTTTGACGCGCTGCTCGTTTAATCATGGAGAATTCAAAATTGCAGGAGGTTACTGTTCCGAAATTTCGAGGATAGCAAATCCTGTTCTAAGGGAGATGGCGAAGAGTCCAACTAGCGCGCCTGGCGCTCATCTGAAATGTTTCTTAGCCCCGACCAATCCTTGTTTCTATCTTATAGTGACTGCGATGGTAATCGCTCAGGAGAAGGTGGTCATATTAGAGTTTGAAATAGGGAGATGGCAAAGTACTAGAGCCCAAGTAGGGCGCCTGGCGCTCATTGAAGGGCTTCTCAGCACCGACCAATCCCTATTTCTATCTTGTAGTGATTGCGATGGTAATCGCCAGGAGAAGATGGTCATATCAGAGTTTGAAAGTGCTTGGTAGTGGTCATAGATCTTGAAAGGCTCACAAACGAGACAATCGGGTTTCCAGTAGCTGGATGTTTTTTCTAATGGGCATTTAGCTCAAAGCAATGCTGTCATCATGACTCAGTGACACTGACCTCCACAAGTCGGTCACAAGTGAGCATTCTTGAGTGCCATTACCTATAAGCTAGATAGCGCCATCACTCTCAAATGAACAAGCTGCGCGAGCCATCATAGAGATCATTGGTACTCATGTCTGCCTCCATAGTTCAGAAGCAATAGATTATTGGGATTAAAATATGAAATCATATCAAATACAAATATGAACGGTACCATAGTGGAGAGCACAACTGACCCGCAAAAGCCAGGGATGGGTAGCGAATCGACCGAATCGAGCGCGAACAGTTTTAGCCCCCCACAACATCAGCCTCAGCACATTCTTGTGATAAACTTTCTCAAACGCGAACAGCGGCCTAAAATTAGCAGTCATACCAGTAATAGACTACGATGCTCTTTTCGAGAACCGCGCTGCGTCCGTTTCTCATTCAAAATATAATATATAACATTCAAACAGATTTTGAATGGATTCATTCTATACACGTTTATAACAGCACAATATAAGATCCAGTTGATCAGGAGATTTCATAGGCTCAATAGCTGCGACCAATTAGCTAACCTTGTGCAGTTAAGAGACCTTGCTGGCCTAGCGCGTTGATCCTATGAAAGTGTGTTATGAGAAAAATTTGACAAAGGATCCTCGTAAAGCCGGAAGTTTCCATACGGGTTCATTGATTGAGATCTCCAAAAAAATCTCAGGTTCGATGATGAACTTGGACGATGGGCAACGCGCGTAGTAGACGCACTGGCCAGAGAAGTGTTTGTCGCAAGTGGACGTCTCCTTACCACTTTGTTCAAACCGTTTACTTGAACAAATTTTGCCCTTTCTGTGACGTCACAACACGAACCTTGTGATCGATAACAACTGATTATCAATGAAACCTAAAAAGTACCAACACATTCAAAGAGATAAGCGATGTTTACTTCAAAAAAGGTCGCAATTGCTTGTAAGGGCTCTCTCCCTCGGAATCAGCCCTTCACTTACATATTGACCGCGTGCAATGCACGTTCACACACACTCCCTTTCGCTTGTTCTCCTAACAGACTGTGGTGTTCATAATTGGAAGTGACAAATCATGGAGAATGGTATAACTTTCCTTAACGTCGAAATGAATCACTTCCTGCTAAAAGAAACCTGTCACCGAGTACGGTAGGAAATGTGACGTATTCGTGTTGAAGAAGGGGTCATCCAGTCCGAGACGGGCGAGGACGGGTAGTGGCGGGGCATTTGCGACATTTGCATCTTCTTCCTTCGTCTCTCCAGTCCAGTTCTTAGACGTCTTAGAAGAAGAATTCTCAGCTTTCAATCCTTTTATTTCTACAATAAACCACTCTGCTCCATCTCTTGTCCTCGACACAATACTCCTACCACTCTCTTTCCCTTCCATTCACGCTCCCTTCAATTCCACTTTAAGCTCACTGCTTACCACTCTACTACGAACTAAATCAGAACAGTTCTCGTTGAAAAAATTGCGCAAGCGAAGGGTTTCTCACCAACATCGTCCAAATGCCCCCGACCCTTCCCATGCTCGTACACAGGGGCTTTCAGAGGCAAATCGCGCACATTCTTTTGAAACGGTCTCTTGCATATTGTAGGGACGCATGTATGGACCACAAAACCATGTTTCGTTTTCGCTGAACGGTTTTAGTAGTATCAAAAAAGTGGTGAATGATACCTTGATGGTTCGATCCCCCGCGGCGACTAAATTTTGCAATCAAGGTTGGCGGCCACTTGTTGGCTTCAAAATGGTCCTGACGATGAATATGACATCTGATTTTGACATTTAGCGCGATTTGGCACCAACCGTAGGCGCCAACCCAAATGCAAAATTTAGTCGCCACGGGGGATCGAACCATTAACAGTACCTTATGCTTCTTTTTTGGTACTGCTATAACCGTTCAGCGAAAATGAAACATGGTTTTGTGTTCCCTACATGCGTCCCTACAAATACCGTTTTGAAAAAGCGTAGCTTGCCCTGGAAGACCTCCCTCGTAAAAATTTCATGAGAAAAAAACTCCCTTATCGTGAGCCTTTTGTTACTTGCACTCGCGGCAACTAACCAAAGCGAAGCATCACGTGTTCAATAGTCATCTCTAAAAAAGGCTATTCAGAGATCAAAATGGCCAAAAGAGCATTTTTTACAGAATTCATAAGAACATGAAGACGTCGACTGAATGAGTTCAAAATCTGGGACCAGCCAACATATGTATTAGTCGAAGAACAACAGGACCCGATAGGAACACGATTAGTCGCTGACTGTAATGTGCTGATAGAAGGGCGATAGTGGGCGATAAGAGCGCGAGTCGTCGGCGCCTTGTGTCCTGTGCAGTAGCCGTTAGAGGTGTCCCGTTTTTATTGTCGTGTTACGTCACAGCAACATTGTTGGAAGCCCTAATTTACGTCGACGATTTACGACCCGCGCCCGCCACCCCAAGCGTGGCGCTGATTTCCTGTGGCGTTGTTTAACCATTACACCTATCACGATGCTATTGTTCAGTGTTGTTGTGAATCGCTTGGTCTCCCTGTAGGCAGCGTCGATCGTTATTGATTGCCATTCATTGCAGATTATGAGGTTATTGATCATTGAAAGTCGTATATTTCCTATTGTTCGTGACTGCATACAATGTGAGGAGGAAACGTGATCATCATCCTGGTGATGACCATCTTTCCTACGAGTCCATGAAGAGAATGATGGAAGAGCTGGAGCAGCAGCTCAATCTGCACATTGACGACGAGGACACAAACGCCATCACCACTACCACCACCACCGTTCCCAAAGTGACCACATTTCCGGAATACGACGCCGGCGACATCACCTTCCGTCTTTACCCATCTGGAATGGATTACGCTCTTGAGGTAGGTATGTCGACGCCATTTGTCAAGGGCAAA